ACAAACAAAGACTGCAGCTGGTCACGATTCTGTTTCTAACTGAACGCCTCTCAGCTTCTCGAACATCGATAAAAAGCTCTCGTCCGTCACTTTGACAGATGCACAAACCATCAGAAAGAAGAAAACTAAAATGTTGTAATTGACGGTTTCTTTCTCAGATCTCAGAGTTTCTTCTAACATAAGTTTCCAACAGTCTTGACGCAGCACAAAGACCAAATGCATGTCCCTGAAGTGTGTGAGAACAGGGTGCTGACTGTTTCCTGCAGCTCACCTCCTTCCTCAAACTGACTCCAGATCCAGACCTTCACACTCAAATCTCCATGTTTCATGTGATTGTACCCGACCTAAAAAGCCTCTGCATGTTTCTAATAAGCTCCACGAGCAGAAACGTGCTCAAACTAGGATCAATATTGGAGATGCTTTTGAAAAATGGAGAGAGGTTAGAACACAGAAAGGTTTACAGACCCATGCAGAGCTGGATAAACACTGAAGCTTCAGAGTCCACCACATGGTGAATTTAGACTGCATACCCATTTTAAACACTAGGGGGCAGATTACATACTGCTCCTTTAAGGTGAAGATGCTTCAGTATTCTCCTCCTCCAAACTTTGTCCTAAGCTAGAGAGTTCTGAAACAACATAAAGAAAGAGTTGTGAACTCTGCGAATGTATCTCGAGGTTTCCCTCAGTTGTAAGTTAGCTAACCAGCTACAAACATGATTTGATATCTTGACATTTTTGATTTATTGAAATTGAAGTTTGTAAGTTTAACAGCTTTTAACTGACAGAAATGGACGTTAGCGTTCTAAATGTTAGCTTAAATATAACAGAATACTGATCATTACATAGAAAAATAAAGACATCTGTAGAGTTTGCTTTGAAAGTTTTGATGTGGCTATGCTAGCAGGTTGACTCTGCTTTGAGTCTTAATGCTAAGCTATGCTAATCTGGATCTAAATCACATAGAATAAACTGAAGTGATCAGAAACATCAGACTTCTGGAGAAACAGAGAACAAAAGTAATTATTAAAAAGTTGAGACGTTCCTCTGGTCATCTTATTTGCTCGTTAGCTAACATGCTATTAGATAAGCTAGATATCGTTAACGCTATGCTAGTGCCATAAAAGGCAGAATACATATTTAACACATGACTTTTTGAAGTTGCTGTTTTTCCTCTGCTTTCCAGTCTTTATGCTAAGCTAAGCTAACCACCTCCTGGAATTGTTTAAGATCTTGTCACATAAAGTTTATCTGATGAACATGTTTGTTGCTGTCACTAAACGCCACATGGCGTTGAGTTTTGCTAACATTCATCTGTCTAACTCTTCATTAGAGAGGAAACACACTTTAACATTTCATCAATCCTGAATCACAAGCAGGCTACAGAATGTGACAGGAAGCAGAAAACAGTGTAACACCGGTGTGTCTCTGAGCAGACTTTTATTTTTGATATATATTTAATAAATGAAACATTACGTTTCCATCTTGAAATGATAATGATGATTTCACTCTAAATGTCCCGTTCATGTTCAGACACAGCTCGTCCACTCCCTCTCTGCTCCCTCACTCAGTCATGAAGTCCCTGAACATGAATCTGTGTTAATGAGTGACAGAGTGAGAGGTCTGTCCATACCTAAACATCAAACACAGCAGGAGGTGTGAAGGTTAAACTGCAGGTTCCAGTTTGAGCTGATTAAAAACAGAAGAAGAAGAAGACTCACCAGAGACAGAAAACCAACCGAGCGTCAGGCTGAAATCTGCAGACTGAGATCCTGAAGCAGCTCTCTTCTCTCTCTCTCGCTCTCTCTGAGGTGTGGCTCCAACAGGAAATCCACCTCCCTTTTTTCTCTGAAGGACTTTTTCTTCTCTTTTCCTTCACCTTCCCTCCTGTTTATTTTCAGTCAAACAGCTCCTCCTGCTGGCTGTTCTGTCTCATTACAGCACAGTGACATCATGTTGACATTGTGGTGACATCACTGTGTTCCTGAAGGCAGCAGACTTTCTCTTGACGTCCAACCAGCGTTCATCCCCTAAGTGTTAGAAATAATCTGAAACCAACAAAAAGTGTTCAAATATAAGAGAACAATAAAAAACAGAAAATTAAATCACTCCACTCAGACCTGTCAGACGGGCCCCTTAGGGAGGTTTACTGTCTTTGCAAAATGTTCACATTTTGAGAAATCAGCGACTTCCTGTGTTGAAACATGAAGCCGGTGCTGAAGTGTAAAAATCCTGCAGTTCCTGGAGTGTCCACTAGAGGCTGACTACAGAAGCACAGGAAGTCACATACACACCCATTCTAAAAGCTGTTTTTACAGCAGAGATGAACATGTTTACAGCCTGGTTCAAAAACCAAATAGGTGTGATTAGCTCATGTCTGGATGGACACACACTGTACGGGGGGGTGAATGTTTTGATGACTCATCAGTTTTTGATTTGATGAAGGATAAGAGTTATTCACAATAAGGCGTGTAGCTGACCTGATTGACAGGTGGGCGCGGTGTAACGGTTTGTCAGGAGGTTTAAAACCGCCTCAGCTCAGCTCTCAGCCTGTCGTTAGGTTGACTGAAAGTTAGACTGAGACAGCATTTCCAGCATGGAGACGCCATCGATGGGACTCCAGCGCCCCCTGCAGGACAGACGGAGGACGTTATTGATGGACTCCAGCGCCCCTGCAGGGACAGACGGGGACGCCATCGATGGGACTCCAGCGCCCTGCAGGGACAGACGGAGGACGTTATTGATGGGACTCCAGCGCCCCCTGCAGGGACAGACGGGGGACGTTATTGATGGGACTCCAGCGCCCCCTGCAGGGACAGACGGGGGACGCCATCGATGGGACTCCAGCGCCCCCTGCAGGACAGACGGGGGACGTTATTGATGGGACTCCAGCGCCCCCTGCAGGGACAGACGGAGGACGTTATTGATGGGACTCCAGCGCCCCCTGCAGGAACAGACGGGGGACATTATTGATGGGACTCCAGCGCCCCCTGCAGGGACAGACGGGGGACGCCATCGATGGGACTCCAGCGCCCCCTGCAGGGACAGACGGGGGACGCCATCGATGGGACTCCAGCGCCCCCTGCAGGAACAGACGGGGGACGTTATTGATGGGACTCCAGCGCCCCCTGCAGGGACAGACGGGGGACGCCATCGATGGGACTCCAGCGCCCCCTGCAGGGACAGACGGAGGACGTTATTGATGGGACTCCAGCGCCCCCTGCAGGGACAGACGGAGGACGTTATTGATGGGACTCCAGCGCCCCCTGCAGGAACAGACGGGGGACGTTATTGATGGGACTCCAGCGCCCCCTGCAGGGACAGACGGGGGACGCCATCGATGGGACTCCAGCGCCCCCTGCAGGGACAGACGGGGGACGTTATTGATGGGACTCCAGCGCCCCCTGCAGGGACAGACGGGGGACGCCATCGATGGGACTCCAGCGCCCCCTGCAGGGACAGACGGGGGACGCCATCGATGGGACTCCAGCGCCCCCTGCAGGGACAGACGGAGGACGTTATTGATGGGACTCCAGCGCCCCCTGCAGGGACAGACGGGGGACGTTATTGATGGGACTCCAGCGCCCCCTGCAGGGACAGACGGGGGACGCCATCGATGGGACTCCAGCGCCCCCTGCAGGAACAGACGGGGGACGTTATTGATGGGACTCCAGCGCCCCCTGCAGGGACAGACGGAGGACGTTATTGATGGGACTCCAGCGCCCCCTGCAGGAACAGACGGGGGACGTTATTGATGGGACTCCAGCGCCCCCTGCAGGGACAGACGGGGGACGCCATCGATGGGACTCCAGCGCCCCCTGCAGGGACAGACGGGGGACGCCATCGATGGGACTCCAGCGCCCCCTGCAGGAACAGACGGGGGACGTTATTGATGGGACTCCAGCGCCCCCTGCAGGGACAGACGGGGGACGCGATCGATGGGACTCCAGCGCCCCTGCAGGGACAGACGGAGGACGTTATTGATGGGACTCCAGCGCCCCCTGCAGGGACAGACGGAGGACGTTATTGATGGGACTCCAGCGCCCCCTGCAGGAACAGACGGGGGACGTTATTGATGGGACTCCAGCGCCCCCTGCAGGGACAGACGGGGGACGCCATCGATGGGACTCCAGCGCCCCCTGCAGGGACAGACGGGGGACGTTATTGATGGGACTCCAGCGCCCCCTGCAGGGACAGACGGGGGACGCCATCGATGGGACTCCAGCGCCCCCTGCAGGGACAGACGGGGGACGCCATCGATGGGACTCCAGCGCCCCCTGCAGGGACAGACAGGGGACGCCATCGATGGGACTCCAGCGCCCCCTGCAGGGACAGACGGAGGACGTTATTGATGGGACTCCAGCGCCCCCTGCAGGGACAGACGGGGGACGCCATCGATGGGACTCCAGCGCCCCCTGCAGGGACAGACGGAGGACGTTATTGATGGGACTCCAGCGCCCCCTGCAGGGACAGACGGGGGACGCCATCGATGGGACTCCAGCGCCCCCTGCAGGGACAGACGGGGGACGCCATCGATGGGACTCCAGCGCCCCCTGCAGGGACAGACGGGTCACTCAGGCTTCAAAGGTTTTTACAGTCTGTGGTCTGAAATCAAAAGTTAGACTGAGAAGCTGCTCCACTTCACTTTTATCAACCAGTGATGAAACACACCTCCATATATAGAATCTCTGAGGTCACCTGACAGGTCAGAGGTCATGGACAATAGAAATGAAAAATAATCATGGTAAGTAATTAAAGGTTGTATTGAGGTGTGTTTCATAACTCGTCTGATGAAGGGCGAGGGCCAGAAACGTCACATGTGGTGATAAAGTTCAGTAAACGGGACTTGGAGAAGCTTCTGCTCTCCGGCTCAGTCTAACTTTTGATTTCAGACACAACTCGAGTGATTTTAGTCTGATCACTTCAATGGAAGGGGAAAAAAGTACGGCGCGCTTCTCTGCTCTTATTTTGAAACGTAAAAACGGAAGTCTTCGTGTGTATTCGGGTGAGCTTGACGCAGGCGCAGAGCTGTTTTAAGCTGCAGCAGCTGAGCAGCAGAGACTGAACCTCCTGCAACAAAAGAGACACAAACGAATAAAGAAGAGAAACACGAGAAAGGTTTCATCTCTGATCACCGGAAACACACAGGTAATCTCTTTTATTCACATCCGGTCAGTTTATGTCAATCTTCACATTTGTGTTCGTTCTTTGAGGAGAAGCCGGTCATGATGAACCTGCTGCCAAAAAACAAGAACAGCCTTATTACATGTCAGAATACCAACATGAATCCTCATTCACGATAGAAATCTAAATGTTTAATCGAGTCAATTCTGTCTGAATCGGCTGCATCTTCTTCTGCTCATGAGCCGAGCCAGGCCGAGCCGAGCCAACGCCTCTGATTCAGCCAGATCATTGAGAGCGATGATAACTGAAGCACCTTCTAACAGAATGAACTACAACATTCATAACGTGCTTATATTTTAAAATCTATTTCTAATGTGTCCATTAAAACAAAGACGAACAGCCGGTGAGAATCCGGGACAATCAGGGCCAATCAGGGCCAACCAGGGCCAACCAGGGACAATCAGGGCCAACCAGGGACAATCAGGGCCAACCAGGGACAATCAGGGCCAACCAGGGACAATCAGGGACAACGCCTCAGGATCAATAAAGGTCGATCAGGAGGAAAACAGCTGACAGCTAAAAGAATGTAGTATGGTTTGAGTGGGGGTCAGTAATGGCTGCAGGTTTATTTCAGTGTGCTGAGGCGACACTGACCCACTTTCTAAATCTGCACAGAGTTTAATATTAGACACATCTCATTATCAGCCAGCCTAAAAAACATTGATTTCAACTACAGATCTGAGTACGGTGGCCTTAAAGGTCAACTGAAAAAAACATGAAACAAAAAAACCTTCACATTCAAAAACATGTTTGCATTTGAAGAAATGTTTTTGTCTCATGAAATGTTGTGTGTGAGTTTACTTGGAAATAAAAAAAAAATTCTGATTCTGAAATGTATTTATGCGCATTGAGATGTTTTTGTTTTTGCACTTTTTTGTGCTTCATGAAATGTTTTTATGCTTCATGAAATGTTTTTGTGCTTCATGAAATGTTTTTGTGCTTCATGAAATGTTTTTGCGCTTCATGAAATGTTTTTGTGCTTCATGAGATGTTTTTGCGCTTCATGAAATGTTTTTGCGCTTCATGAAATGTTTTTATGCTTCATGAAATGTTTTTCGTCATGTTTATTTTTCAGGCAGGTGTTGACTGTGTGTTTGTGATTCCCAGATTGAATCATGATGGAGAAATCAAACAGCCAATATGACTCCTTCCTGTACTGGAGGCAGCCAATCCCGTCACTCGACCTGTCAGAGCTGGAGGACCTGGGATTGACTGACAGACAGCCGACCAATAGCAGCAAAGGAAAAGACAAGTCGTCCTCGCTGAGGGGTCAAGACGAGGAGGTGAGGCAGGAGTGAGACAGGAGTGGGAGGGATGATGATGTTCTTAATGTCAGTGCTGAGATTCAGAACATCATCTCCACTTCCTGAAATATCTTTAATTCGTTTCACCTGACGTCACGCGCTTATGGAACCGCCCACCTGGCGCCAGTAAAGCTCCCTACCGCTGCACACTCTGAAGTAACCGAACAAAATGAACCTTACGTCTCCGTGGTAACCAAAGATGATGAACATTACGTCTCCATAGTAACCAAACAAAATTAACCTTACGTCTCCTTAGTAACCAAACAAGATGAACCTTACGTCTCCAAAGTAACCAAACAAAATTAACCTTACGTCTCCATAGTAACCAAACAAGATGAACCTTATGTCTCCATGGTAACCAAACAAGATGAACCTTACGTCTCCATGGTAACCAAACAAAATTAACCTTACGTCTCCTTAGTAACCAAACAAAATGAACCTTACGTCTCCGTAGTAACCAAACAAGATGAACCTTACCTCTCCATAATAACCAAACAAGATGAACCTTACGTCTCCATGGTAACCAAACAAAATGAACCTTGCGTCTCCGTGGTAACCAAAGATGAACCTTACGTCTCCATGGTAACCAAACAAGATGAACCTTGCGTCTCCATGGTAACCAAAGATGAACCTTACGTCTCCATGATAACAAAGATGAACATTACGTCTCCATAGTAACCAAACAAGATGAACCTTACGTCTCCATAGTAACCAAACAAAATGAACCTTGCGTCTCCGTGGTAACCAAAGATGAACCTTACGTCTCCGTGGTAACCAAAGATGATGAACATTACGTCTCCATAGTAACCAAACAAGATGAACTTTACATCTTCATGGTAACCAAACAAAATTAACCTTACGTCTCCGTAGTAACCAAACAAGATTAACCTTACTTCTCCTTGGTAACCAAACAAGATGAACCTTACGTCTCCATGGTAACCAAACAAAATGAACCTTAGGTCTACGCAGTAACCAAACAAAATGAACCTTAGGTCTACGCAGTAACCAAACAAAATGAACCTTACGTCTCCATGGTAACCAAACAAGATGAACCTTACGTCTCCATGGTAACCAAACAAAATGAACCTTAGGTCTACGCAGTAACCAAACAAAATGAACCTTAGGTCTACGCAGTAACCAAACAAAATGAACCTTAGGTCTACGCAGTAACCAAACAAAATGAACCTTACGTCTCCATGGTAACCAAACAAGATGAACCTTACGTCTCCATGGTAACCAAACAAAATGAACCTTAGGTCTACGCAGTAACCAAACAAAATGAACCTTAGGTCTACGCAGTAACCAAACAAAATGAACCTTAGGTCTACGCAGTAACCAAACAAAATGAACCTTACGTCTCCATGGTAACCAAACAAGATGAACCTTACGTCTCCATGGTAACCAAACAAAATGAACCTTAGGTCTACGCAGTAACCAAACAAAATGAACCTTACTTCTCCTTAGTAACCAAACAAGATGAACCTTACGTCTCCATGGTAACCAAACAAAATGAACCTTAGGTCTACGCAGTAACCAAACAAAATGAACCTTACTTCTCCTTAGTAACCAAACAAGATGAACCTTACGTCTCCATGGTAACCAAACAAAATGAACCTTAGGTCTACGCAGTAACCAAACAAAATGAACCTTAGGTCTCCATGATAACCAAAGATGAACATTACGTCTCCATAGTAACCAAACAAAATGAACCTTACGTCTCCATGGTAACCAAACAAGATGAACCTTACGTCTTCATAGTAACAAAAGATGAACATTACGTCTCCATAGCAACCAAACAAGATGGACATTATGTCTCCATAGCAACCAAACAAGATGAACCTTATGTCTCTCGTTTGGGTTAAACAAAGCTAAATGTCCGTCTGTCTGTCTGCAGGTTGGTCTGTCTGAGTTTTCGTCCTTCAACTATTGGAGAGCTCCGCTTGCCGATGTGGACGCTCTGCTGGCTGACCTCAACCTGCTGCTGTGAGACCCAGACTCACCTGGAATCATCTGACCTTTGACCCCTAATCAACCTGACCTTTGACCCCTAATCAGCCTGACACCGATCAGTCTGCATAGAGCTTTGTTTTCACGAGTCTTCATGGAGACTGATCCTGGTTCAGGTTTAGATTGTAGTCCCTCTGAGTCCAGCTCAGTCTGTCTGTATCCATGACGATGATCATCACCTCATCAATCATTCTGATCATTTCACGAGAACCCACCAAATCACTGACACACACTAATTTATACCCGACTTTAAAGACAAAAGAATGCTGAAACGTACCAAGGTCAGTGAACGCAACGTCTGCAGTGAGTCACATTATTTTGTTACTCCTAACCCTCGACCTCACCTGTCAGTTTAATCCAGATCAATCCTGAACCTGGATACAGAGTGTGTTTACCCGAGTCCTGATCCAGATCATACACCTTAATCCTGATCCAGACCATACACCTTAATCCTGATCCAGATCTTACACCTGAGTCCTGATCCAGACCATACACCTTAGTCCTGATCCAGACCATACACCTTAATCCTGATCCAGATCTTACACCTGAGTCCTGATCCAGACCATACACCTTAGTCCTGATCCAGACCATACACCGAGTCCTGATCCAGATCAAGCCCCCGATGTTCCAGTTTGATGAAACAGATTGCTTCACGTTATGTGAAGGAACACTGATTTGTTTGTCTCATTAACACTCATTATTTATTTATTTATTTATTTATAAGAGAAGAAATATTTTATTTATCCATCTGTGCCTTTTTGTTCGTCTCACTTGATTATTCATGTTTCCATTTATTTCTCATGTCGCTGAGCTAGTCTCAAACTGGAGCCACACGAGGACGAAAGACGTCCACCTCGTCCTGTCAGAATGTAAAGTACACCTGTATACACACCTTTACCTGTGTACACCTGTGCACACTTGTTTACTTGTGTACACCCATTTACCTGTGTACACGTTACCTGTGTACACCTGTCAAAATGTGCACCTGCCAACAAGAAAATAAAGTGGTTGATATTGATGGGATGACTTGTGTTATTGGCGTGCTTGTGTTGACATGTTTGTATTTAAGGTCCAATCAGCAGACATCTATAGAATCACATTTAGTCGTTGAGTCGACAGTTTTCAGTGAATCAGGAGGAAAGGGGTCGGGGTCTACATGTGATCATAAGACTTTATTACAGACTCAGGGTTCATAAGACTGAAGACATGGTATAAAATCACTCAATCCAAACCCTCACAGGATCCAGATGGACCTGGACCAGTCTCCATAACGGACTGATGGCGTGTAGTCACTTCATGTGGGGAATTACGGAGCAGCCAAATACATTTATTAAAAATGCTTTAAAGAACATAACACATCACATAGTTTAAAATTATTCACTCACACTTTAAGATCAGAAATATATCAGAGAGATAAAATCATATTTAAATAAAATCAGTGTTTCTGACTTTAATAAACGGAGTTTCACTCAGAGCCCTGCAGGCGGGAACATGTCTCTTCTACAGGCTGATCTCAGGTCAGCTCTGTGTACCACCTCATGACGTCATCCTGGAGCTGACGCTGACTCCAGGTCTGTTCCTCAGTGTCGTCACAGAGCCCGCCCACGGGAGGTTAACTCACTCTGACTTCCACCTCCGGTGTCGAGAGGCCGCCATATTTATTCAACATTAAACATAAAAACAACGATTTTTAAATAATTTGTCGGCAGGTGAACACCTGTTAGCACATCGTTTACGTCAGGAGACGTAAACCCGCGTGGCTCAACAACAAAACAAGGTAAAACTCGCTTTAATTCAACTTGCTAACAGTCTGCTAGCACACATGCTAACGGCTAACACAACTAGCTGCTAAACACGCGCGTCAAAACAGATCTCACTTCCTGTGAGGACTTTCAAAATAAAACAAATATCCTGTGGTTTAAAAGGTAACGTTAAAATGTCAATTACTAGTTCTGAAAGTATTTTAAGGTCATATTTCAAAAGATATTACCGGTTTCTTCAGGAAAAATAACACTTTAATGACACATTTGATTTATTTAACATATTAACTTTAAACTGAAAATACACAAATACAGACACCTCCCATTATATCCTCATCACCTTCACTCAATCACTCCATTTTTATCTGAATTAATACTTTTAGTGAGAAGTTCTTTAAACAGAGCAAGAAGAAACATCTGAAAATATTTTTTTATTTCCAGCTTCACAAAAGTATATTTTTAAATGTGAATTATATTAATTCCTACATTTAGGGTTAACTCTAACCCTAACAACTTCATATTTAGATTATTGTTGACTGATTTCACATCCATGAATCTTAATTCACAAGTTCGAAAATGAGTACAAACAATAGAATCATTCAATTCTTAAGTCTGAAAATCAGAAAATAATTTAAATTGATAAAGCTTATAGTGTGTTGAAAATCTTTAAAATTAATTGACCCCCAGATCTGTGTTCAGAAAAGAGCAAAAGAACTCACTGCATGCTCTTATTTTGAAGGCTGCATCCATACAACCGGGGATGTAACGGCCGCTGCCTCGCGCTAACTTTCTGCAGTAAACAAGCCCGGAGAAACCGGACGAGCCGCAGCGGGAGCTGAATTCTGTTTTTAATAACACATAGGATGACCGTGATCACTCACCGGAGCCGGTATTAGTTAACGGGGAGAGATAAACGGTCACAGAGCCTCCACACACGGAGCGGCCTGATTAGCCTGCTAGCGGCTAACGTTAGCATACTACTAACTGCTGGATCCTAAAACACCTGAGCGCGGTAAGAAGCTGCTGTTTCCTCCTCCGTTACAACTCACTGTTTCTTCATGTCCTCTTCTAATCAAACATCACATACAGGTGATACAGGTGAAGGAGTTTCAGGTGAGATCTCAGAGACGCGGGTTGACGACGCGCGCGCTTGATGAACGTTAGTTAACCGGATGTGGAAGTAGTTTTTTCTCTGCGTGTAAAATAGGAAATTTCTCGGTGACTTCCCCCGGAAAACCAACAACTTAATATCAAACGGTTTCCTGTCAGTGCTTCTGTAAACGTGTGTGTCCGGCCGGTTGTGTTGTTTACCGGCGGTGGATGTTAGAAACAGTCCGGGGGGGACGTGGCACATGGCGGACTCTGTTCTGTCCATGAAGGCGTTAAAATGGCTCCTCAGAACCTCCGAGCCGAGCTGTGGCTCCATTATCAGACACAGTGTCGGAATAACTTACATCATTTTAAAAAGCTGTGTACCAGGTGTTACAGACGGGTGTTACAGACGGGTGTTACAGCCAGGTGTTACAGCCGGGTGTTACAGCCGGTGTTACAGACGGGTGTTACAGACGGGTGTTACAGCCGGGTGTTACCAGTCGGGTGTTACAGACGGGTGTTACAGACGGGTGTTACAGACGGTGTTACAGTCGGGTGTTACAGACGGGTGTTACAGTCGGGTGTTACAGCCGGTGTTACAGACGGGTTTACAGTCGGGTGTTACAGACGGGTGTTACAGCCGGGTGTTACCAGTCGGGTGTTACAGCCGGTGTTACAGACGGGTGTTACAGCCGGGTGTTACAGCCGGGTGTTACCAGACGGGTGTTACAGACGGGTGTTACCAGACGGGTGTTACAGATGGGTGTTACCAGACGGTGTTACAGACAGGTGTTACAGCCGGGTGTTACCAGTCGGGTGTTACCAGTCGGGTGTTACAGTCGGGTGTTACAGTCGGGTGTTACAGACGGGTGTTACAGCCGGGTGTTACAGTCGGGTTGTTACAGACGGGTGTTACAGCCGGGTGTTACCAGTCGGGTGTTACAGCCGGGTGTTACAGTCGGGTGTTACAGACGGGTGTTACAGCGGGTGTTACAGTCGGGTGTTACAGACGGGTGTTACAGACGGGTGTTACAGACGGGTGTTACCAGCCGGGTGTTACAGTAGGGTGTTACAGTAGGGTGTTACAGACGGGTGTTACAGTCGGGTGTTACAGTCGGGTGTTACAGACGGGTGTTACAGTCGGGTGTTACAGACGGGTGTTACAGTCGGGTGTTACAGACGGGTGTTACAGACGGGTGTTACAGTCGGGTGTTACATTTCACACTTGGAGTGTGAATCCGTTATCGGACATATATCGACTGCTTTGTTATAACACTTTTAAGAAGTCTAATAAAAGTGTGCTCCATGTTTATAATGAAACTGTTTTATGACATGAAGCAGCTCTTAGACGAGGTTTGTAATGTGCCACTAAAACAGAGGCGGGCCTTGTCCGATAATGGGCACGTAGCCAATAGCTTTGTATAACACTCAAATGAACCGGAAAGTGTGCTATGTGTTAACTTGGACTTTTACAGATAGGACACTTTATGAGTACACATATAAACAAACTTAAGACTTGACGTTAGTTTGTATTGTGGAGATAATAAGACTACAAACAAACATGGAGGCTAGTTCAAGTGTGGGAAAGTGATGAATCAAAGGTATACATACACACTGCTTTTATAAGTGTGTGTGTGTTGTGTGTGTGTGTGTGTGTTCTTATTGACGATTGCTGTCTTCATGTCTCCTGGTTTGTATTAACTCATCTCTAAATAGACATGAATTCATCCTTAAATATGAATACAGTCAGAAGACCACGAAACAGACCATCATTTAAATTTATGAGCCTTCACAATAGACACCTCAGAAAGTGTGATGTTATCACATTCAAATATATATTACAACAAAGCATTCTCCCTGAGTGTACAGTTCACCTGTTGGAAACTTAAAGTAACAAAAGAAACCAGAATAAGTACAATAATAAAACTAACATTTAAAACTCCTTCAAAATAAGACACCAGCTCATGAAGTTTCAGTCTCAAGTCTGCACATCTTTATTCACAAAGATAACACTGTAACAGGGTTAGTGTGTACCACTAATGTTCATTTCTGTTTGTTTTCAGATGTCTCT